TTGGTAAAATGCGAAAAACTGTCATCCTTCGGCATTGATCATCACTAATCAAGATTATAGAATGGAGAAGGAAAATCTCTGAATTTTTGTTACATAAAGACTTTTTGTTTCTTCAATCAGAATAATTTATTAAAAGTCTAAAAGTTGATTACAGCTAGGCCACCAAATCACCAAAAACCATAGACATAAGATAGTTTGTAACCTCGATTTGACCCAGGGTGGAAACTTACTTTTTAGTATTTCCCAGGGTTGAAGGGCCTTTACACGGGGAGGCCCGGCATACACTTCTTGGTAAAGAGATCGACTTAGTAACCGAATGTACTCACAAGGATCACGTCTCCTGGCATCTGGCGGGAAGATTAGGAAAACCCGAGAAACGAGGGAAGCCCTTACATAACTGGCGCGACACCCCCAGACAGCGTGGAGCCACAGCCTACAACAGCTGGTCAAGTACAACAATAGACTGGCCCTGAAATATCACATGTTTATCTGTTTATCCAAGACCCTCGTCTGCCACCCCTGGGCAGAATGGAACAGCTGAGAAAATATACTTATGGGTAAGGCCGAAGCCACGGTGGGTTAGGTGGTTACAGGCACTCCCCAGAAAAACCTCCAGAATAGTTAATTAGGAGTTTATTTGGTAAAACAAATTATACATTGAAAAGGGTTAAATCATAAAGAAATACTGTACAACGCAACAGAAGATTTCATTATCTCAAGACCTATTAGACGTTGTAATAAAGTGTTGCGTAAATTTTAATATTTTGATTTGTTTGATCAAACTAAACCGTACAACACTCAACACGATGTTGTCATGAGTAGGCCTATTGCATTTTGAAATAAAAATAACACTGCTGAATAATGTTCCATAGCTAAACATGTCATTTGTTTGTGTCAGTTAGTTGAGTGCAGTCTCTGATTGAACTAGGTGATGACCGTTGTGACAGGTCAAAATTAATAGCCATTGAAACATATTTCAGTTTATTTACCGTCTTCTAAAGGTTTTACAGTAAATGAGCATAACGTCCAGTAATGTTGGAAGGCGTCTCTCGTAATAATCGTATAAAACCACACACATAATGCTAATCAAGACATACAACATAGGCTATAAAACTACCGATGGGTGGTAATGGAGAACATTCGCTGCCGTAATGACCCTCATCCCCAAAAACCGAAATAAAAAGATTTTCCCGCTACGAAAACTGTCATAAAAAATTACAACAACGAGGATAACCTTAGGTTTCCATTAACCTTACAGCATTGCTTATAGATTTGACAGTTTTAAACCAAGTTGTTGAGAATAGGGTTCAAAGTGAAATCGTGTCTACTGAAAATTCACAAAGATCAATCAAAAGAGAAAGGCACTCTCTGTTTTACATATCCATTAGATTAGCATTCTAACATCAATCTGTTAGAATAAAACAGGTGGTCATTGAATTAAATTTTGATAATAAAGTAGACGCCTTTTTTTATTTGGAAAAGTTTTATCCAGTTTTTTTTTACTATTGATACTTTCTTTAGTTTTGCATACCTTTCTAGTTGATAAGAACATAGCATTTGCTATGTTTGCCTTTTCAATTTGGCAAGATTACTAGTCCAACTCAAAACTTAGTATATTAAACGGTACAAAGCTACAAGCTCATTTGTATCTAAAACTGTCTGCAATTTTGACATGTAAATGGAAAGTCTAAGCAACAGTATAATTGAATACAACGAAAGCTCGCCCTGTGGCCGAAGACTCGACCAAAAGTATATGTATTGTGCAAACCTCTCTTTTTTCACCCCTCGCTGTAAATAAAACATGTGATTGGAATTCCTTTCATTTGTTATGATTTTCTGTTTATATTTTGTTGTTATTTCATACCAACATGGCAACCCATAAGGCTTATGTTATTTTTTTTATTTGATATTAATTCGTTGTGCTTATTTTAATTTATAAAGGGATTCTGCACATCCACAGGAAAATATCTTTCATTTGGTACCAACCGCGTGTAATTCGGCCCAGTAGTATGGCCAGGCTAGCTGTCGTAAGTTTTGCAAACGTTTTTTACTATATAAGATGGTAGACAAAAGCTAGTCGTTTCAACCAAGTGACGAATACTATCACGCACTGAGCACCAAACCTCGCAGTTCGCGGGTTTCGTGTCCTAGTAAAGTTTTAGTGCATTTATGTTGACTAAATGTGTCTTTCTCATCATTATTAGGTAAAATTTAACAATAGCAGTCTATTCTAAGCTGTAATTTGATAGGTCAATGAGTAGTTTACATATACCTTTCTTTATATAATAAATAGTTTACATAGTTCACATATTTATATAAGTGTATTTAATTGTAATAATCTTAAATTCAAAGAAAAGAATCTAAAAATAAGGAGAAGTCCTTAAGTAACACTTGTGGTCCTCGTTAAAATGAAGACAAGCTATACGGGGTGTCCCACGAAGGGGTTTAAACGTTTGATTTTATATTACGTGCCCATTCATGCATCGAACTTTTTTAAACTTTACACAGTTTAAGAAGTAGGATATAAAAATATTCTGGAAAAATTTCAACTCCCTAACCTTAGTAGAAACAAAATGGTGGCATATTGAAAAACGATGCTTTAAAAAGATTAAAGAAGGTATTTTTGGTTTTATCAAATATTTTTATTGTTACTTTCCAGGCCAATGTGATTTAAATAAAAAAACTAGAACACAGCCTTAATGGAAAACCTTAATGTCCAAAATTATTCAAACTGTAACCCATCCACAGCAACACACTGATAACAGCGCGTAACAAATGATTCGTAAGCTCTTACAAAGAATCTCCACGGTATCCGGAGAAGTTCCTCTTCTATTGATCGTTTTAGTTCCTCATCATTATTGAAGCCATGGGTATAAACTTGTTCCTTCAAGAAATCCTATAAAAAGATGTCGAAAACAGTAAAATCAGGTGATCGGGGTGGCCAATCTAAAAAATAATTTCCACGACCAATCCAACGGCCATGAAGGTTGCCATTTAGCAATTGCTTGACAGGATTTGCGAAATGAGGTGGTGCACCATCTTGTTGAAAGATTGCTTGATTCATTTCTGGTACCGTCAAATGGGGCAAGCTGTTCATTTAAACCTCATTTTACAATCAAACAGCTGTTCTTCAACAATGAGTGTTAGAACCAACTTAGTAAACAAATCAGGTAATTAATCATTAAAGTAATTTTTATAGGAAGCAAATTGGTAAATTTTTCAATATGTCACCATTTTGTTTCTACTAAGGTTAGGGAGTTAAAATTTTTCCAGAATATTTTTAGAACCTTCTTTGTAAACTGTGTAAAGTTTAAAAAAGTTCAGTGCATGAATGGGCACGTAATATAAAATCAAACGTTTAAACCCCTTCGTGGGACACCCTATATATAAATTATGTGGAGAAGGGAGAACGGCTGAAAGTTTGATCTGTGATATAATGAGTTGAATGTATTTATAACTAGTGTATTTCTTATTGAGAGAAAACGCTGATCATTTCCAAGAAACAACCGAATGACTCAGTGTGGTTGAGGTTAAATTTAGAACACGATTTCGTCTGGTTAGAGAGTAACGAAGGACCTCTCTAAAATCCTGGTACAATCTCCAAAACATTATCAAACGATCTATAGCCTATCATAGGTTTAACATACGTACTCCTTATAGATATATCTTCCTTTAGACAAAGAATTAGATCAGCTAGAACAGTTGTTGAGTATAGTTCCGTTCAGTTTACATAAAACACGTTATTATTTGTTACGTTATTAGTTTTACACTTGGCTATTTGTGTATTGTAATTTGTCAGTTTTATATGCTATTTTGACCAAATAATAACGCTCATTTACTATTATTTGACCAAATAATAATAATCAATCTTGTTCTGTACTGTTATAGCCATAAAATAAAGCAGAAATCGTAAATCCATTCTAAAAAGACAGGGAGAATTAGTTAGGTGTTAATTAGATCATACTTAATTACTTGATAAAACAAAGTTTATATAATTTAGTGAATTTGTGAAAAAGTATTTAAATGTTTTATTGCATTAAATGTTGTAACATTTACAATATTACATATTACGAATATAAACTGTTAAACATATATACAGGGTGATTGATATAAGTGTGCCAGCCGTTTTATTCGAAAACCATAAGAGATATCAAAAAAAGTTAAATGGTAAGTGCCTTGGATTTGTTATTTAAAAAATTGTAGTCAAGTCAAAAAAAATATTTTAGCCGCCATTTTTCCAATATGGCCGCCAACTTTGATTTTTCTTATGGAACACCCTGTATTTTATTATGTATACTGGTAGAAAATGTAGTTTTAAGACGATTTTATTCTTGTGATTTTTTTCATAAACCTAACTGTTTCAAAGATAATAATGGTTTAAGTTGTGAAATTTTGAATGGATTTCTAATAAAACAGCTGGCATGCTTGCTTAGGCCTTTTTTCGAAATTTTTTCTCATGCAGAAATTTCAAAACTTTAACCATTATTATCTATGAAACGGTTAGGTTTATGAAAAAAATCACAAGAATAAAATCGTCTTAAAATCACATTTTCTACCAGAATACATCATAAAATACAGGGTGTTCCATAAGAAAAATCAAAGTTGGCGGCCATATTGGAAAAATGGTGGCTAAAATAATTTTTTGACTTGACTACAATTTTTAAATAAAAAATCCAAGGCACTTACCATTTAACTTTTTTTGATATCTCTTATAGTTTTCGAATAAAACGGCTGACACACTTATATCAATCACCCTGTATAGGCTATGTGTTAATTATTTAAAAAAAATAAATAAATAAGAATATGTTTTTTATTGAAAAATATTATTCTAGTTTTATAATAGATATTAATATAATTGTGTTGCGGGAAGCTTTGAATAGCTTGCATGTTTACCACTTGACCATATTGTGTCATATTAATAAAGGATTAAATCTGATAGCAATTGATTACTATCAGCAGGTTTTGTAAAAAAACAACAACTCTGTGATTTTTGCACTTCACACAAACAAGTTTACTAGTTGTTGGTGTAGTTTTCCCGTGCCAGTGAAACATTTTTTGATAAACAGTAAGTCAGGACATTTTTTGATAAACAGGACATTTACATTCAAGACATTCTTGATTCTTGCAACATTCATCTATTTAGGGAATATCTATAAATTTGTCAGGTTCAAAACTGTTATGATTTATTATAAATGAATCTACGGAAAGTAAATAAATGAGACGTCTTATAACACTTAAAACATATATTTACGCTTATACTGTTAGGTACTCAAAAGACGGTAAATATACAAAAAATATGGTAAAGTGGTGATCGATTGCGATTGGCCACTCCAATCGAATTCGATCACCACTTACCATCTTTTTTGTATATTTACCGTCTTTTGAGTTACAGTATAAACGTAAATATGTTTTAAGTGTTATAAGACGTCTCTTTTATTTACTTTCCGTAAATTTAATAACACGTACAATGCTGATCAAGAAGTTTTTTTTTTATATAAATGAATGCCTAGTTAACAGTCCTTTTAAAAGTTTATGAGAGGTACTTTGCGGAATGGATTAATTGTTCAACTGTATTGACTATCAGTGCCTGGTAGACCTGGGCCAAGGGGCGCAAGAAAGAGGGAAAAGTTCCTTGCAAGGTAGGAAGGGAGGTCCCTTAGCAATACAAAACGTGGGCCTGTTGACTATTGAATTGTTAAATTGTCTGGTTTTAACCAATTCTACAGGAAATGTAGTAAAGTAGCAAGTAGCACTATTGCCAAAGTACTGATTAGTTCAAGACTTTGATCCACACAGAGACTTAATCATTCACTATCTATAACTTTTAGGTTAGGCAATCATAAAAAAGAGTTTAATTATTTATCTTTCAGATGTATCTCAATGAGCTGCGAGCGTACTACCCAAGACAGACTATTAAAATTCAAAGGGTTGGATTGTCCAAATACAACAATCTCAATATCAAATCACTTCCAGTTCAAGACAAGGACACTCAGGATGAGAAAATTCCTGCTGTTCGAGGAAAACTACCCAAAATCCTGCTTGGGCCGTTAAACTTTTTCTACCTTTTCATGGAAAATTCATCCATTCACGGATTTAATCATTTGACAAATAAGAAACTGCATGTTTTTGAGTAGTAGGTATTTCAAATTAGCTGCATTGATCTTATGATATTTTGAGTTAGTAGTAAGTTATTAAATGTTTTACACTAATTTTACACATGTATTGCAGTTTAATTTGAAACCTATATTTTGTTCAAGTGGATGTAATTTTTATTCCATTAATCGTAGTAAGAAGTCATATTTTAGATCTATTGTCTCAGAATGTCTCAGACTAACCACTAAAGATGCCACTTCACAGTAAGGGCAAAATATCTGGCAACAGTGAATTAGTGACGAAGCAGCTAAATAACATCACTATGAACTCTCATGACACCGGCCGAGAAAGCCTATATAAGATATTCAATAACAAAAAAATGTAATACTTTTTTTGTCCTTGTCCACCCCGATAGCATTTTTACGGAGGAATTACATGAGGAAGTACTTAAACTCATTTAGGCAAAGCGGTCCAAAACTTGGGCCTCCTTCCTCAAAATTAATAATTTTTTACACACTATTCCTGGCTCAACCTCCTCTTTTACAATTCGCTATTACAACAGATTAATCTGCACAGAAGACATACAGTATACAAAATATCAGTTAGGTATTTCATACAATTTACAAAAGACTGATATTTTTCAGTATTCTGTGGCTGTGCGCTCTAGTAGGAGGTGTATACGGGTTACTCACGATATCGTTGTCAACGTTGGATCGCTACACAAACAACCCAACTGTTGTATCGCTAGAGCGCAACTACAAAGAGTGGAACACTACTCTTCCAGCAGCCACTGTGTGTCCTGATAGCAAGTTTGATCAGGATAACCTAGATGAGGTACTGACAAGGTAAGCGTGTCACGTGAAATAACTATTTACACATTTTATTATTATTTTAATTGAGGTCTAAGTTTAGAGTAAGCGAGTGCACTGTTTGATTTTGCATTTTCTCTTCCAGATATTTCATCTACAGTCTACTATAATAATTCATTACATCACATATAATTCATTGGGAGATAATGACATTTGTTGCCCGATGACTTGCAGTGGTCTTAGAAAAACCATTTGTCACTTAATAGTTAATAATATGTATTTTTTATAAGGGGCTACAGTTCAGGTAGCTTATTTGAGAAAGTTGGAGTAAATGGACTTATAGTAACAAAAACCCCCACTGCAGCAAAACTGCAGACTAAGCCAATTTTCATTTGGCTGATTAGATTTTTGTTTTATTTTAGTACCATTGTAGATAATAATCATACACATTTTTCAAGGTTGGGAATAACTGAATCAGATGCTAAAGAAGCAGCTCAGAATTTCCTTGTCATGTTGGCAAAGACAAACTACACATCTTTCAATCTTCTTCCTGCCTTCAAAGGGATTTCACCTCGAGATTATTTGGACGTCATTGTTGAAATGAAGTATGTTTTTGAATATTCCGTCAGCAACAGCAACATTGACAACGCGGATCAACAAGAGAACGAACTAGTGATGAACATGAATGAAATGAGTTTATGTTACAGCTACAACTCTCAAATTGCCGTCTACCTGAACCCGATGTGAGTTAGTAAAAGTTACATAATAAATTTTTTTAGTAATAAATATAATTTAGTACCTTATTAAGAAGTTTTTTTAAATGTTGGAGGTTTCTCACATGTCCGATATGTTATCGCAACTAAACAATGTACATAAACCTCTTGTCCTGATGTTCATTATGAACTATGGCTACTCTTGCTACTATTCAACCAATAGTGTCACCACAGTGTGAATTATGAAAAAACAACATACCATTTACCATTCCACCCTGTAATAGTTAGTAGTACCATAGACTAACCAACACAAGAAGACTTCTCATCCCATTGTAAATTTTAAATACTAAGGGAGTATGTTTTATCTATGGTAGTACCAAAGAAAATATTGTTTGGAGCTATTTAAAAAAAGTTGTAATACCGCCGGTACGTACCACTAATGATTTAAAAAAATGTTACAGTCTTCATAGTAAATATTCTCTAAAATGTATTTAGCTATAAACAAACGTAATTTTCTTGTTTTGAATTAGTTGTATAAAACTGTACTCAAAATCATAACAAAATATAAATCTACTTAAGTGGGATTATTGCTAGTTGACTTCCCTAATGTAGTATTGGTTTTTTATGCAATTTTTAAGCAATGTTTACGCAAGGTTTTAGCTGGTTGAATCAGTTGATATTTTTGGGGGGGTAAGACAAACATCCACATAATTAATAATTTTAGTGTTTGGTAAATTTCTCAAATTTCTTAGGTTTTGGAAGACGGGAAATTACACTCACTCAAGTACACACTTCCAAATGTTGGGAAGCCCCTTGGATGGGGATATCTTCACTCAAGTGATGAACATGGATACTGCTTACGTTGTGAGTGTTATTAAGAAAAAGTAAATAAAAATAACATATATAATCAAATATCAATATAATTCATAATGTTCTACTAAAAGATTATATCAAATTATCGAGCACTGTGTTCGCTGCACCAAATACTTTTCTGATGATTTGTTTTCCTTTTATAGTACGTTTATAACAAAATAATATAACTCTAGGTTTTAATGTTCAATCACTTTAGTTTGTAGAAATATTTATAACTAGCTGTACCCGCGGGCTTCGCCCCGTTTAGCTTCATAAGTATTCGCATGGCTCATTCACGTCCTGGTTGAAGTTCGTTCGCTACGCTCACTCACCTTTAGGTTGGAGCTCGTTCGCTGCGCTCACTTGCCTTCAGGTTAGCTCGTTCGCTACGCTAACTCGCCTCAAGGTTGAAGTTCGTTCGCTACGCTCACTCACCTTTTGGTTGGAAATTAGCTGTTGTCATAAATAAAAAAAAAAATTAATAGTGCTGCACCCTGTTGGTAATCCTTGTAACTTTTATGCTGTTGAACATCATAGAACAGAACCAACTTGTTTAATTGAGACAGCTGTTAAGATTCATTAATTCCTTTTAAATATGAAAAATCATAAGATTAACATGGGGAACAACAGAGCCACTGGGGCGGAGCCCGAAAGGGTCTTTGAGATAAGAATATGCTTTAATGTTAATCGGGAATGTGAGCTATCATCATGCCAAATTTCAGCCCAATCCGTCCAGTAGTTTATGCGTGATTGAGCAACAAACACACACACAAACACACACACAAACATACACACAAACATACACACAAACTCACAAACTTTCAGATTTATAATATTAGTAAGATTGCTAACAAATGAGTTTTATATGCAAACAACCCTTCAAATCCTCTAAACATTTGTTCTAATCACTGTACCAAGACAAAGACAGCAACATATTTATGTATTTTAAACTAACAGAATGTTTATAGCTTAGTTAATTATCTGAGTAGCTTGACTACTAACTCCTCGGTATTTAGTGAGTCGGTGGCTCAGTCGGTAGCGTCGCGGACTTTGGGCCCAAGGCAGCGAAGTCGTGGGTTCGGATCCTGGTCACTGCCGATAACATTTTATCAGTACAGTTCGCCTTTGTACTGTACCGGCTCACTCCTTGCTTTGCTGTAAACGATCCACGCACGGGCGCTTAGTCTATGTGGACGGGCAAATGCAAGGTTAAGAGAGGCCGCCAACCTCTTTTTTAAAATAAAGAATAAAATAAAAATAAACTACGATAAGTTATTTAGCCAGGATCATTATTAAGCCTGAACAAGGACAGGTGGGTCCAGTTGGAACCGTCCACAAGTTGCAGATAATATTCAGGATCAAACCAACTTTCTGATTGCTAGGCAAGCACTCTCTCCCTAGATATTAGATTCTAGAAATTATATATTTTAGAACCTAACTTCTACACATCAGCAACCCTTTCAAAAGCTTTTGTAGACTATTGGTTTTCAATCAAAACAAAAGAACATTTTTGTAGGTCTACCTCCACAGTCCCCAGGAAGTGCCAGACATTGCCGTCAAGGGCAGTTCAGCTTACGAAGGGTCGTACATGACACAGGATGTGGTGGCTCTAAGCATCGTAAGCGCTCCCGAGATCCGCAGTCTTACGATTCCTCAGCGAAAATGCCGATTCCTGGAGGAAAGTAACCTGGAGTTGAGTCCTGTCTACTCATACAACCTGTGCAGAATGGAGTGTCGTATGAAACTTGCCTTCAAACTGTGCGGATGTGTCCCCTACTTCTATAAGCCCTCAGGTTAACATTGTGTAATGTCAAATATAGTTATCATAAATTTTCAAAATCATCTTCGGATATTTTTTAGGGTAGGTATTTTAAGGAAAATGAGCAAAGTATGGGTTGGGTATATATGAGATGGGACTACACATTAGTTACTAATACTTAAGGACAGCTGTTTTCAGTTTCAACCGTCAAAAAAAGCTACCAGTTTATCTCAGGTTTAAACTTGCAACATTCTGATTCTCAAACTACCAGCTTTTTAACAGCCATATAATAGGCTATAGTAAGGAAAATTTATATTTATAGCAATGGGTTTGTGACTCATAAAAGTAGCAAGCGAAACACAGTAATTGGAAACATCTTAGATGCTTATAAATGTTAAACTATGGACTACCAAAACCAGTCAAACAAAATATCTGTGGTAACAAAACACCTCACTTTCTCCAATTCTGTAATATACTGGTACTGTAGGTATTTCGCTAACATAATTTTATTACGACAGCAACACCATTTTGGGGATTTTAAGATGACTATGAGTGGAGGATGAAGATCAAATATATTGTGAGGTGACTTTTTGTTACTTTTGTACTGATTTAAGACTTGCTGTTTCTTTAACCGACCAATTATAAAAAATAAAAATAAAACAATGACCAAGGACAGCTTATGGTAATGTTAAATGCCTTCTGTCTGAACCTCTTGGCGAATTCAACTCAATGAATGAAATTTTACTGGATATTTAACACTTAAACAATCCCAAGTTCATGCTCATTTACCAGTCATCATTAAGAACCCATTTTCTTTTTCAGATAACTACAAAGTTTGTGACCTAAATGGGATGCAGTGTTTGACAGATCATGCAGGTAGGTTTATATTGGCATTATAGTTCGGTCGCTTAGAAAGAGACCTCCTCTAGTATTGGTTAGCATTAGCGCGCTTGTCGCTTTCTAAGAGGCCGAACTATAGTTGTGTACTTCTTGAGATGACAACCATTTATTTAACTCGCAAGAATTTTTAATAAAAAGATAAATGAATGGTATTAGAAATCTGAAACATACTTTCTCCCATTGGCTTGTCAACGACCTGGGGTCACTATGTTGATTTATGGGAAAATCAAATTAAAGTTACAATATCTTTTGAACTGTAACTTTTACAGCGATGGTGGCTATACCGTTTTCTTAAGAGTTCAAATGACTATAACATTTTTCAACCAAAATCATTTGAGCCTTTTTTTATCCGATTATTCCATTATTTTACGGGTTTTATGGAAAAATCGCCATTAATTTTTTTTTTATTAAATAACTGCCTGGAGATACTATAGATAAACCTATAAGTACAAAATTTCACTAAAATCGGACCAAAGGTGTGCTCTGTCTGTACACATCCACACATACAAACACACACAGACATTACTATGAAAACCACTTTTTTGAGTTTAGAGGGATACAAAATGGATAGACCACCCAAAACTCGATCATTTTTACAAAATCAATACTTGCTCTATATACTATGAATAAGAGGAGAAAGTAAAAAAAAAATATTTTTCCTACAGTCACCCGACAAAGTTGGCTTCCTTGTACTGTTTATAGTACAGAAAGCTGCTAATTCCTGCATATTTATACTTTGCCGTACGGTTTATACTTTGCCGTACGGTTTATACTTTGCCGCACATCAGGATTCCAACGAAACAACACAAAACAGCGTGGTTCCATTATGCACGTAATCCGTGTAGGCTTTGAAATAGGTTGGCAACACTTAAAGATAATTATACTATGAACAGCTGATTGACTATTATAACTACGATTTAACCTGTCATTTCGTGTTTATAGTTTCGGTATTTCTGAACTATCTGGACTTTTCTTTTAAACGTTTTTAAAACATTCCTACGATCTTAATAAACAAGAAAATACCTTTTAAGTATTTTTTTAGGCGCGGAAACCACTTCAAATTACAAAAACATACGGAACTATATTCTCAAAACGCGGAGCACTTTCTTGCCGAGGAAAAATAGCGGAGTGATATGGACCGCGGGTACTACTTTCTCTAGGGCACCATTTGTGTTGCCAGCTGAACCTAAAAACGTGTTGCATAGTGTTTGAAAGATTAATTATTTATATGCTTTATAGTGACTGTAGGAAAAATATAATGTGTAACACGAGTGAAAAAGGCCTTTGCTGCACTCGAGATCATTCCACACTCGCCTGCGGCTCGTGCGTAAACATTGCTCTCGTGTGCATCAAAGTGCCACTTTCACCACTAGTTACACAAATAACTATTTTTACTGTTATTACTTGCAGATATCCTAGTCAAACTTGTAAGAGGGAATGAAAGAATTGACTGTAAATGTCTGCCACCTTGCGATGACGTCAATTTTATCACAGAAACAGAAAATATCATGGACTGGTAAGACAGATTTTTTAACTCTAGACTGGAAATCCTCTCATATCTGTATCTTAAAAAATTTACGCCAGCTTTATAGTATATTATGTTACTAGTCCTGAAAATTTGTTTACCGGACGAGTGTTGTGGTCCTCGTGCCAGACAAAGTCGAGAGCGTGATTAACATTCATGTCCGGAAAACACATTCTGGACGAGTGATGTACGGTACGATATTTTAAGCCATACTACTCTAAGCTAACTTAACAATTACAAACCTGTACAAATCCTTATATATTCCCACAACTAAAGGACTAACAATCACTATTCATAACCTCTAAGAGAGGTTATGTTTTTGTTTATAACAATCATTGCCAAATATAATCAGCTGAGAGTCTGCAGTTGAGGGAGCAGCTTGTTTACCACGTGACTTCGAAGGAGTCAATGAGGATCCCGTGTTGTTGCCAAATCTAATAATACAAGCTGATTTGAAAATATTGTTAGTATATTTTAATTAGTGTTGTCAACAGGCGACATGGCAATGTTGCACTAGCCCTGTCTTGTGATTGGCTGACACCAACTGCAGACTCTCGTGGACCCTAGTATAGATTATGCATTCCATAATGGTAGGATTAACTTAGAACGCTTGTGAATGAAGTCAAGAACAAGACAATGGTCTCAGATCTGAGCTTGAGCTAACTCGCTTGGCCAGGATAGGAGCTCGGTGGAGGACAAACAGCACTCTTATTTCAATAGGAACTTCAATAGGAACTTCTTTCCATTACCATAAGGATAAGGTTTCTTGTTTAGAGTACATCATAAAAATTCTGTTTTTCTAACTTACTTATTTGGAGGTAATTGTTTGAATTTTTAGGACACTTGGAACTAATCTTAAATGGGGCCTTGTGAAGTATCCTCGGCAAAGACTTCGGAGAGACGTCCTTTTTGGGGTTGCCGATGTTTTAGGCAAGTATATGAAGACCATTTTCCAAAGAATAACATACCAGTAGCCATTTTACTTGAATTTAAATGATTTAATTTAAAAAATGACAATGTTATGTTACAGTCAACATGGGCGGAACTGCTGGATTGTTCTTTGGCTGCAGTGTCCTCAGCCTGGTGGAAATCCTTTACTTTTTTACTCTGAGACTTTTTTGGTTTTGTTTGAAAAAAAATTAAACTCTCAGTAATTAAAATATGAACTGTAATTAAATCACTTTCAGAATATAAATGTGTTGTTCTATGGCTGCACTACAGATTATAAAACGTTAATAGTGTTAAAATACCAATAATAAAGATTATAAGTTCAAAAATATTTGACTTTTTTACCTATTCAAAATGTTTTTATAACAGTTCACTGTACCGATAATATGAAAGATAGAAACTTCTGGATGAGAAGAGGTAGAGATAATAAATATGGTGTTCAATGAATAAGAGAGACACAAAATAAAGTTATCACAGTAAACTGAATAAGAATATTATAGCAAAACAAGGCAGCTTATATTCTGTTAAATCTAAAGCATATGACGATGTTTCATGTTGGCTATGCTTTGACAATGTCTATTACCATATTTAGACTATACAACGAGATATTGACTAATATTGATCATCTCAATGGATTGCACCAGGTTTTTTGGCTTCAAATTTTTACATGTTGGATTGGAAGTCTACTCTGAGTATAGACAATGGTATTACACATATATGACAAATGACAGTTAAGGATTCATATTCTTGTTTAGTACTAGCATTGACTATTGGATACTGAAGGTCAAAGGATTATATTGGATACAGGTTTTATTGATACTCAAAGATACTAGCCACTATACCCGCGCCTTGCAAAATTAAACTAAACAAATGAAGTTTTTGGCCTGAAAGTAAACAAAACCATATGTTAACTAATGCTATTAGGATAGGCGTTTTATGTTTACTTTTGGGCCAAAAACGTCTTTTGTTTATGTTTATGATCCATTACCGGTATTTATTTTTAGTATTCGTGGTGTTAACCAACTGTTTGAGAATGTGAAATCAAGTGCATTTGGCAGTTCTGCTTGTTTACATTTCCACATTATGAGTTTGTGATAGTTCTATCCTTGGAGCTGTAGCTTTATTTTTGTCCAATTTAAGCCCAGTCGGTTCAGTAGTGTTTGAGTTTATCTCATATCAATCAATCAATTATTTAAGATGTGGTCACTATACAAACACACACAGACAGACTGACACCACCTATTCTTTATAATTTCTTCCTTTTTTACAATTTTACTTTCTATTTCATTTTTATATCAGTGAATAAGCAATAACAAATACGTTATTTATTTAATTAACAATTTTAAAGAGGGAAAAATAGCCAGAAACAAATCATAAACAAAAACACTCTATAAATTGCCAGACCATTACTAACTAAAAAAATATCATCAGCTGATATTAGGACGCAAATTAAGGGAAGAATCTTTAAGGGAATATGATTAATCCATGGATAAGTATAATCATAGACAAAAAAAATTAAATATAGACTGTCAGCTGTGCTGCGGTTGCCATGGTTACCATAGGTTCTGGCGCACACCGCTGCAGTTTACGTAGCGCGTACGCCGTAACTACGGTGGTGCTCCAAGCGATGTGCGCCAGAACCTATGGTAACCGCAGCACAGCTGACGGTCTATATTTAATTCTTTTTGTCTATGGTATAATCTAAATCTCATACCTAAAAATTTATAAATTGTTATACCCAGTGCTCAATATGTAAAAAATGAGATGTTGGAACTGGAAACTATTTTATTGCCAATATTTTTATCTTTCTGAAAGCAATGATTATATACCTACCAAATGTAATGTTAATTTAGTGGCCCATTAATGTTGAAAGGCACAAAACTAATAAATATTTTACAACGCTTGGATAAAATCTCTATCCCCAATGTAAAATCAATGCCTAACAGTTGTTATTTGGAAGCCTGATAACTTTTTAACCACTGCACTTATAGTGGTTTCATTTATTTGTTTATCACCCTCTCATATTTGTGCTAATACAAAGCTTGGCAATCTTATGAAATATTTAGTAAAGAGTCCTACCTTACATTTATATAATTACAGCCATGAGTGATGGTTTGGACAACAGCATTTCAAGTTAGAAAAAGGAAATGGAACAATGTAAGCAGTACAAAATGTATAGAAATGTTAAAGTTAATCCTCTTAAATCTTTATTGGGGGAAAATAAAATTCAAACAAGAAATTTGAAATATAAAAGTGTTCTAGAAGAAAAATATTTCAAATTTTCACTTATTCATGGATTAGGACACATCACAATGAAAGGCATCCATCCATTGGAGCGGTAAGAAACAAGATATTTTTTTTATTACAAATTAAGGCGTCTTCCAAACATTTTTATCTGAAAAAGTCCTATGCAGCATACTTTCCACTAATTGAACCGTGGACCAAGTGAATGCCTGATTAGATTTTTACTCAAATGTTTCTTTAAACATGTCCTGCCTGGAAAACCTTTAAATTTTGTCAGTATTGAGAAGATGAAGATTAAACAATTTGCATCTATTTATTCCACAACCTTTTTTTTGAGCTGAAGGAAGATACTTTAGTCTCTTTTCCGCAAGTATCTTCCATCTCTGGAATGGGTACTACTTCTGCTTTTCTAAAAAAAACCTTCATCTCTCACTTGTGTGTGTGTGTGTTTTTTTAAAGAGACACATGAGTTTTCATTCTGAATTCGTGAAAACCACTTTCATGTTAATTTTATTTTTGTACCTCACCATGTCATCTGGGGGCCAAAGTATGCCCAAGATTGAACATCGTTGTTCTAACCAGTTAGAGTTAGAGAATTCTTTAAGATCAGGGTTGTCCATAGAAATATTATAACTTTTTCACTCTACATGTATTTAAATCTATAAGATTCTCTATGTGCACAGATTCTAGAATTGTTCTGAAAACCCTCTAAAATTCTAGTTGTTTCATACTTCTTGTCAGGGACCTCTCCTATGGGGTTTCATCATGGACTCAATAATAAATTTAGACCAACGAAAAGGCATTTGTAAGACTAAAACATGATGTAAAAATGAGTTGATAGGTAATTTTGATTTGTATGCAGAAGTAATTCTTTTTCTTCAAGCAAAAAACTTACTTGAAACCAAATAGTGGTTTAACTATTTTGAAGGCATCTGCAAGATCAAGACAATTCCTTACCCTAGAAGGTTGTCCACCCTGCTGAAAAGATAATCAGTTTTTGTGTGTGCCAAGTAAAACATCAGCCATTTGCAGTGTTTTCTCTTTCTTGTTCAGCTACAAGCCTGCTATCAAAAACAGAAACTTAAGAATATTTTGATATTTCCCTATTCTTTCTTATTAACATATTTTAATCCTGTTTTCATTTTTTCAGAACCATTTTTTTTAAGAATTATTTCGGTTGATATTTTTTATACTTTGATTGCAATGAATACTATATTTAAAAACTATATTTTGAGGAATTATACATTAGAGTGTTTCATAGATCTTTGAATTGATTTAATTTAGCTTATACAATCAATGGTATTCCATGATTTATTTCAGTTTTATATGGATTTTGACGGTGATGCTTGCTCTGATGGGCATAGTATTCATAAATCTATCATCTTGGAAACGTTTTCAAGAGAACCCAGTTGTTATCTCCATTGAACGGGATTATAAAAATTGGAACACCTCATTTCCTGCACTAACATTCTGTCCTTTCAACAAAACTGATCAGAAAACCATCAAAATGATTGCACAGTGAGTAATAAAGTCTTTTGCTTGAAGTTCATGTTGTTGGTAATGATTTTACAAAAGGTATTTTCTTTTTATTATTTTAAGTAAAACTATTGCCTTTTGTCAATGGTAAAATATAAGTTTCTGTTTATGTCTTGGGATACTAACAACATCTCATGTGCACAAACCAAGGTGAGCTAGAAAACACAAATAGCTGAACACAACAGTTTTAATTAAAAGGAGCAAAAACAAAATACCCCTGCCGCAGCAAACCTGCAGACTTATCAAATTCAAATTTGCCTGAATTGATTTTCAATTTAATATATTTACCTAGGACCGTTTTCTTAAGTAGCCGTTTCGGTTTCAGTACAGTTCTTAGAATTGAAAAGTAGGCCTATCTCATAACAGCATTGTTTACTTTCATAACAGCATAGTTTTACTCATAACAACACGGGTAACGGACCAATTTGAGGTTCAAGGATTGAGAGAGGAGAAGCAAAATTGTAATGATTCGAAATTCAACTAATCAGCTGTTCAGGCCAATTTAATTGTTGATTGGAGCAATTAGTATTTGATACAATGTTTCGTTGCATCACTGTCAGTGGCAATTAGAGGTTATAAACAAAAACATAACCTCTCTTAGAAGTTATGAGTAGTTATTTTTAGCAATTAAAACACTGTAGTAGGTAAAGTAGTGTTCGCAACTCGCGTAAATAGTGTTAACGACACTCGTAGAAGTTTTTAAGGCACTCGCCAAGGCTTGTACCTTAAATTTTCTACTTGTGTCGTTAACACTATCCTTACGCAATCGTTGCGTAAACTACTATTAATTAACATAAGGTATAACACATATCTAAGTTTGCTGCCACAGGGAGGTTAATAAAGTGTGTTTTAGTGAAATAATAATAGCTTGGTAAAAAATAAATAAACTTGCCAAATTTTATCAAATTATATCCATAAACAAGCACACTAAAAAAATTATTATATTCTCCATAAGAATAACATAGGAATTTCAAATTTACAATTTTTTGAATTTTCTCTGTAACCAAACCGTAAAAACACTTTAATATACTACATTATTTGTTTTTTAGGCTCTTTAAAATGGTCTAGAGATAAATTGGGAAATTTTGTGTTTTGAGGCTACCACCTAGGGTAATATCCTACTTCCCTATAGCAAAATTCCCTAAAAGTGGAAAAGTAAAAAAAGTCAATTAGAACCATCCACTCAACAAACAACCAATAAAAGAAAGTTTAACAAACTTGTATTTAAAACACTGCAAACGAGTAAGTTTAAGGTTTGACATTATACTATTATTTCATTCTTTTTCACAATGAATAATTCATTAACTTTCATCCCTAAACATGCAATAAATATCTAAATGTGATGATATAAATATGAATGGGATAGGTAATTTTTATTTATATGCAGAAATGATTCTTTTTCTTCAAGCAACTTAATTGAAACTTCTTTAAGTTAACTTACAGAAAAAATACTATTCATAAGAAATTAATTCGATTGATAT